ATCATTGGCTTAACTGTGGCTAGGGATAATCTGCAACCAGTAAAAGAAGTTACGCAAACGGATAAATTAGTGTTTCCGTCTACTAGCCCCCGTTTGCGCGTATCGATGATCAGATTGTGATGTTGTAGAAGGTCCATACCAATGATTGGCATAGAAACATCTGCAACAACGAAGATCCAGTGAATGGGTTTGCGTAAACCCGCGTTAAGGTAAACGTACCTTTTGCCATACGTAGCGATCGGTTTGCCGTTTGCCGCCTGTAAGTTTAGGGTCGATTCGTGAGGTCGGTTGTTGGAATTCGCTGGGAGAACGCTAACTCCTGCGCCAGTGTCGACGAGGTAGCAAACTCTCGTTGCCACATCTGTGACGTACAACAGACGGCTATGTTCGCCGGCTGCGGTTGCCGTTAACGCGTGCCGGCTTGGAAGTTTCCCGAGTTTTTCTCGAGTCAGTCGGTTTCGTGTTGGGGAAATTGCAGGGTTTTCTGCTATTTCTGGAAAACTTTCCATACTGGTTATGATACCAGTACCAGTCGGGGTTATCTGTCTCTCGTGGTCTAGAGACAGATCGCTTACGTGAAATGCTTCTACGCGGGGTGCGCGATCTCTTACGGTCGGTACGAAGACTAAGATAACGCGTGAGTGTGTGACATAAGTCGGTTATATCATTCTGAGTCGTTTGAGGCTTTTCTTTGACTGAAAATACCTCGGTAGTAGGTTTCGTATTTCTAAAATGCGGTCGGCAGATGCAGCTAGCTCGTCTAAGGCGTTGTTCTGAAACGAGACTAGAACTGCTTGCACCAGTTGGGGAAGTTTTGACACGAAGAGTTATTTGAATAGACCTTCGTCGAACGTTCTTGGGCCTATAACCTCTCTCATCCGTCGCAACATGTCCGTCGCAGAACCGTGTTGCAGGTCGATGTTATTGAAGAGTTGATCTAACCTTTGTCGATCGGTTAGGTTTCCTCGTTTAAGAATCGAACGTTTCAAGATTTCGTAAGGTTCGGAAACATCACTAGTAAACATACTAGGTGTTACGTACCTGTTGAATTCGCGCGGAAGTGCCTTGGCTACTGCGAGGAATTGTGCACGTGTGTCGATCACGCCGTGCTCGTGGAAGTGTGCTTCTGTGTAGCAGAACCAGGCTTCAGTGTTGTCGGGCCAGAAAGGCATGAGTTGAAACGAAGGTGGGGACAAGGTCTTAAGCTTGAATACTTTAGGTGTCAGTTCAGTCATGATGAAATATGAAGAACGATAATGAACGAGGGGAAATATATATATATCCAAGAAAAAATACGAAAAAAGAATCACAATGTTTAAAAAATTAAAAAATAAGGCAATGATATATAAAAATCCCAAAAAGAAACAGACTCGCAGTTGCAATTAGGTGTACCAGATCACGTCGGGCTCACCAATGATTATGTCACAGGTATTCAGTGTTTGACAACGCTTTTACCAGTAACACCTTCTAATATATTTCGTTCCCACCCAGAGAAATTAAAAGACAGAGTCGAGGAGATCGGAAGAGTGTATTTGGCGATAACCAATATATCGGAATTCTCTGATCTAATCTGGCTAGCGATTGCGGTTGATGTTGAGCACGGCGTTACCATACGTGACCTGGTGCGGATGCTTGACCGAGCGCCTTCAGCTAGATGAGTCCACTAAAACATATGGTCAGCATCCAATGTCGAAAACTTACAGGGCTATTTATTTACCGTTACATACGTACGGTGCTGACCACGAGGTGTGACTTCAACGCTCGTTGGTTCGTCACACCATTCACATCTAACTCGAGTAGGCCTCCAGTCATTTCGACATAGACCATCTACGTTGGTGATCTACAACCTCATCTCACCAAAACGGAGGACCGACGAAATGCACCCTCCGTGTATTTGGCGATCCGATGGCTAGTTCTCGTGAACTGACCGGTGTAGGCATAGCACTAAGGACGAGGGTAGAACAACACTATTGAAATGGATTTCCGTTAACAATCGTCCATGTGCTGTTCGGATAAATGGCTCCGTAAGAAGTCAGAAGGATAGAGACAGACGTCGTTACGTTTTGATAATTTCTGCCTACTCTCCCCCTGACTGCAGCCAGGATGAAGTAAAAGGTGGGTTTTACAAAAGGCTTTCTGAACTACTTCAGAAAGCTAAACACTCAGACATAGCATTCGTAGCAGGTGACTTTAATGCTCAAGTTGATAGCTCGAACCAAGCAGAAATACATTTAGATGGACGTTTTAGTGTTCCGGCTCACCAAACAAATAATGGTGACCTTCTGCTGCGACTGTGTTCAGAAAATCGTTCATTTCTAACAAGCACTAATTCTAAGCATGAAGAGAGACATCGTCTTACATGGCGACCCCTTTCACCAAACCAACGATGGACTCAAATAGACCATATTGCCATCGGCGATCGTTTGAGAAGGTCGATAGAAGACTGTCGCTCGTTCTTGAATACCTGTCTGGACTCCGATCATGCTCTAATACGAGTACGCATCTGCTTGCACCTCACTGGACAGAGATAAGCCACATTAAAAATACCCATTCGAGTTGAAGTGAGCGACGAGAAATCTGAGGGTAAATTCCGTGAAATTTCAAAAACGAAGCTGACCCAGATGTTGCTTGAGAAGATATTCGAACATCTGTGGAAGCAGCGGTGACTTCTATTAGTGATTTGAACTAAAGGGTCGCGAGAAACCTGTGGATTTCTGCTACAACTTTCGCACCAATATACTCTCGTGAATTTATCCTATCAGGCTCCGAACACGATGACGAGCGAAAAAAATTAACATCTAGATCAACTGGAAGTCTACGGAACGATGATGAACAGCGGTGGGCAACGAAAGGAAGAGATGGAAAAGGTAGCGGGTGTATGTAACACAGGATAGCTTATCAAACTAATAAAAGGAACCGGAATCAAGAAGTCACGTGTAAGTCAGACAATCTCGAAAAACGACATTATTGACTGCTCCCAGTTTAGATGTTTAGAACAGTGAACGGAACACTTTAAAAGGCAGTTCAGATGGCCTGCAGCTGCCCACCATTCCCAAATAGCCTGAATGGAACAGACCTGGTCGTGGCTGCATTGACCACATACTCACCATTCGCCAGCTTTTAGAACACAGGCATGCTTATCGGTATCCGATAGTGGTGGTCTTTTCTGAATTAAAAGCAGCACTTGAATCTGTAGACCGAGAGGTTCTGTGGTGTACCTCAGTAGTGCATAAACCTCGTAGGGGCCCTTTACTCGAACACTACTAGTTGAGTCAGAGTCTATGGCAAAGTGTCATCTGATTTTGCAACCTCAAATGGTGTCCGTCAAGGCTGTTCACCATCTCCATTTTTGTCCAATTTCATCATAGACTTACTGATGGAAACAACGTTCTTGTCGACTGAATTTCCAGGCATCAATCTCCGACCAGGAAGTTCACTTATCTGTTCAACCCTAATGGATTGGTGCCTGACGAAACCTCTACACATATTCAGCAAGCTCGTTTGGTTTTTGCCAACTTACGTCACTAATGGCGAAGACGAGATATCAGTCCAACAATAAAAGAACGAGTGTAATGCTCGGTAGTTCGTTCTGTTCTACTTTACGGCTGCGAAACGTGGCCATCAAGAATAGAAGATACTCGTAAGCTACTAGTACTTGACCACAGATGTCTTAGAAATATTGCTTAAATCTGCTGGGATCATCGGACAAGTAACAGTGATGTTAGACACAGGAAACTAGGGAATGATGGTAAATTAATTGATGAGGTTGTGAATCTTCATCGACTGAGATAGTTGGACCGTATTACATATGCCTGAACACCGATAACCACGACGCGCAATGCTGACTTGTGTTGTAGATAATTGGAAGAAAGTTAGTGACAGCCAATATAAAACGTGGCATTATTCCTTGAAGTCACTAACTTCTGTTCTGAGCTATGTTAGTAGATGCAGACAACTTGTCTGGGGTCTGTGCGACTATCATAACCAATGGTTGGAGACATGGCTCAAAATCGATCACAATAGCATAGGTGTACACACACTGTCTTCCCTTAAACCGTGAGGTTAAAATTTCTTTCTTTCTTCTTGTAACATATCCTTACACATAATCTTTCTTTTGTATATTACTACCGTTAAAGTGACTACTTCTATGAATTCAGTGTTCATCTTGTTGTGCTAATGAGGTGTGGCAACTTGGACCGATGTATATATGTGCCCACTCCTACGTTGTAGCTGACTGACTTTGCCCTTGATTATAGGGGCTGTCATATTGATCTACTGTTTTTCCATTGCACATCCTTGAATTGTTCCTTTTAGGGTTGCAGTACAGTTCCAGTTCGTTGGGAACACCCATTATCAATTAGTTTTTACGATTCCTAAAGTTTTTTCTTACGGTCTTATTTCATAAAAAGCTATTAGTTCCGCAGTTGTTGGTAGTTTTTAAAATCTAATATCTGCAACCAGGAAAATTTCAAAACAAATGTAGTGATCTTTTAAATATTTTAAAATACCGTGTACAGATCAGATTACCAATACAAAACCTAGACGGATGTTGGATACTATATATTCGCTAGGAAAAAACTCGGGGACACACAAGCATAAACCTGAATATCAGTTCTTATCAAATAATAAGTTACGGGGGGTTATTAAACCATAAAGGAAGGCGTATTAATCACTATTCACCAGCATACAGTCATTAAAATAAGGTTAAACAAAGATAGTATTACATTAATGATAATCAGGAGTGAGTAGGAAAAGTATAAAAAAATATCAGAATATACGATTGACTGACAATCAAACATGTACATTCGAACCTAAGATGAATAGTAAGTCGTCTATTCAAAGTTTAAAAACGTCTGACGATTTTAATAACAAGAAATAAGAAAAATTATAAACTGGACAATAAAAGATAAAATGATTAGTTACATTAAGCTAAACTGTCCATTGATTCGAATCACAATAAAGAAGCTAGTGTTTAGAAAAAATACCATCTTACTGAATAATTAGGCTTCTTTCAACCCATCAATAACACGTCTATCTCCATCTTTATTAAGATTATTATTTAAGACTTCTTTTACTGAAACTATAGGTTTCAGATTAAAATGAATATTTGGATTCATATGAGGATCTAATAATGGATCACCAGTGATGTCCTTCGGTTGAGAACCATAAAAACCCAGTAGGAAGATACATAATATACAACCCATAATTAATAGAATAAGACGATTTCGTCGAATAACCGATAAACGTTTAAAGTGTGATGAATGCCTCCTGGAGAAGAAAATAAATAACCATAATAATATCAATAATAACTATACATACATATGAGGAAAATTACTTTATACTAAAATATGTTAGTTTTCAGATGAAAAGACTGCTAGTTTCAGCATATACAGGAACTCAAATATTCTCTCAACTTCTGACGTAGTTTTTGTGTATATAAAAATGAAATCCATAGAAGAAAGCATGAATGATTTTGGTTACTGTTCGAACATCTATCTAGACCTCACAAACTGAAGTATGCTAAACATTCATTAATAATTATATTTATATTAATAACTGTAAGTTTGGGTTGTATGTAGATGATAACAAACCGTGAAATAGAATGAATTCATTTTATTCTGTAAACCTTGTTGTCGTTGCTGTCTAAGTTTATCAAGGGATCAAATTATATGAAAACAAGAATTAGTTTGCATTCGAGGTTGATAGGCTGTTAAACCATTGCTGAGCACTAAACAGAAAAGATAATTCCTAATATCAAACGGAAATAAATGTTGTACAACAGATTTCGATGTTTTGACATAAAATAAACTTTAAAATATTTTTAATTACACGAATAAAAAGTGTGTCAAAGTTTAAAAGAATGTAAAGTTTAATACAGAAGTTATTTGAGTAGTACGATTTGACAAAAACACCTGCTTATATCGATAGCTGTGGATTATTCTAGGTCAACATTTATTGCTCATGAGTTATGGTAGATCAAATATACATTTTAAGATAAACGATAATGAAATGTTCATTAATTATGAATAATTATAATCATAGAATCAATGAACTAGTTTTTTAATCAACCTAACGCTAACGAAGTAGTAAGTGTCGACCCTTCTAATAATGTGATAATTGATGTCTGAAAGTTCAGTTTTTTACTCATTTGTCTTGTAAATCGACCACAGAGCGGAGATAACATGAAAAAGTTCTTAACGGATAAATAAATTGGCCTAATGTCTTGTTATTGAAAATTTAACCCGATATTTTAATAATTCTTACTGTTTCAGACTTAGCTATCATATGTATTGTATATCATAATGCTGGAGGAGTCTGTCCTCTGTAAATAATCTAATTATCTCAAATGTTTGTAACATTTAGTTAATGAAACCTAGTTTGTCAAATGTTTTAGGGCGACAAGCAAAGAACGACAGTTGGGGAAGAGGTAATCTTACCGGAGGAAACGTCTGAACCATGCCAATGTTAGATGTCGTTTATACTTATCATTATCATCATTTTCAGGCATGAACAGCTTCTGGGAGTTTAACGATGGCTGATCTCTTCGTTGATAATGTAGCTGGGAAATATCAGTATACATATTAGTGTCCTTAGAATTGTCTATCTGGAATCCTGTTGTCTTCTGAGGACTCTCCAATATATCTGTAACGTCATGTCCTTTCAAGAATTGTCTTGCAGCTACATCTAGACATGAATTGAAAAGCTTTCCATCTGTTGGATCTAAAATTGAAATCGACATATATAGCGAGAATAGTTAGATCAGGTGGTCAACAACGTCAGATACGAAAACATACTGTTCTTACATGAAGTCAGTCTACAGAAAACCCAATGATTTGTTATTTGCATTTTAGGCACCGAAAGGATCAGTACGTTACAGATAATCAAAGTAATCAATAAGCACACTGATTAACATCTGCTATACAAAATATTACGAACAAGAACAATGTGTTCAATCGTTAATTTCGAACATTTAGATGATTACAACCGGAGGCCCTACACTACCCTACAAGGTTCAGAAAATCAGTCAGAACTCATGGAATAAAATCATAACCCTACTAACCACCTGAGGTTTTTCTTACCGTGCTCCTAATTTACCAGAGTATGTCATACTATATGGTAGACACGGGTAAGCAATATTTAACAACCACCTCAAGCAAAATTATTTTTGACTGCATTGTTGCTATTTTAATTCAGTACAAAGAACAGATATCGAAACTGTTAGCTAGATGACATATGGCAAATCACTAGGGCTACATAGATAAGTTGTGGATTTAATAACAACAACTAAATAAATGTAAGTTTACGTACGTGGTACCACGGAAGATAGACTCGAATTCACTACAACCCGGTCGAGGGTTTGATACGTTTATTTTATTTATTTTAACACATATATTGGTACAAAGAGGGACCAAATACATATGCGCCACACAAATTTCATTCGATGTGTGAGGGCTGTGATACTCCCCGGATGCCCAAACCGAAGCAGGTGGTTATCTTAGGGGGCCACACCCCGAGCCTTCGACCTGGAGGTCTGATCCACAAGGCAGTGGAGCATCGAAAAGAGATGCAGTCCCATGGTAGCCGGTGACCAACGATTGGTTCATACGCCATTTGTTCCTTCAGGATACTGGAGCCCATGTGCACCATTGGTTTGGAATCCGGTTAAAGCGCCGGACATTCGCTTTTCGTCCTTTCATTTTCGTAAACAACACCCCCGCCACGAGAAGGAAGTGAGTAGGACTTCCCTGGCAGAGACTATATACGCGTGGCCATGTGAGAGCATTTGGAGAGGGAGGGCGGACTCTCCACACTCTCGGCCGTACCAGGGCATTTGGGGGCTTGATACGTTAACAAGATTGCTTTTTCTATAGTGATTTTACAGTTGTTCGTTTTACACTAGCCGTGATAATCATCTTTCTCTTATTTCTCATCTTTGTTTCCTTTGAGACTCTGTATCCAAACGGTGAATCGTTTCCATAATATATTAAGATGTTTTACCAAAACATTTCTTATTTGTAAACATTTTTAAATGGTGTACACTAGATTGTGTATTTACTAACTAACGGTTTGAACAGTTAATCGACAGTAATACAAATCAAACGAAAAGCCTAGTAAGGTTAGTTACACATTCAAAAGAAAACCGAGTATGAAGGAGAGTTTATCTATGGAAAATTAAGAAATATGATTCTGAACTGGTCATGTACATGTGATTTAAGACTCTGAAGAAATATATGCTAGGGAACCTACTATGATCACAGAGTATCGTATGAATGAATTCTTTAGCGGTTCTTGATCATCTTATAAACTAAATACTTACATTTTAGCTTCAAAAGCAGAGGGTCACTTAGGAAAGTCATATGCTTCTGTTACATCTAAGTAACATAACTACACATATAAGTGGCGATCCGAAATGGATAGGGTTAAACTTCCGTATAAAGCAATGGTTACAAAAATTAAGTACAATGTTATACTCACACTTCATTACTTTATAAACATTTGCCGATTTACTTTCGTGTAGTTTGACTAAATCACCTTAACTTTAATCTTATCACTCAAAAGCTTGACCTAATTAGAATCCCGATTTTACTTAAATAGTAGCTTTTTAACGCTGTAGACAAATATGGCAACTAGTGTGGCTAATTTGAAACATCGCTTACCACTCGGACAAGTTCTTTTAAACAGTAGTTTTAAGGGACTGCGTTACAGTGAAATTTTATGAAAGGTCTTAACATTAAGGTGTGCTGCTATTCTCATGAAACTTCCGAAAAGCACTACGAACCCAATTTTTCACCTGTCGGATTCAAAGTTACTTTGTGTAGACTCTGTGCTCCAAGGATTATTGTTGCATTGATATCTATAGCCGAAATGGCACAATTAACTGTGTTCATGTACTGTTAGTCTAAAACTTTTGACCAAATAAGCATCTAGAGAGAATGGTATTATTTTGTGGGCTTTGCTTGATCCTTAGCAGAGTGTAACCAGAATAAAAGAAATAATGAAATTTGCAACGAATGGACGTGATCGACAGATATCATGGTGCAAGTTGAACAAGAGTATGGGCGGGTAGAGAAGTCACTTAGCTCCGCAACGAAAACTTGTTTTCCGGGGGTCAGATATCGGTTATCATACTTGGTAGATATTTAAAGACTGCACGTTGGTTTTGTACAGGCGAAATCCCGGTATAGCCATCACAAAAGTATTAAGTAGCATTTTCTTTCTGGACCAACTATAAGCCAAATACATGTGTATTGAACGGCTTATTTAGACATCAATGCCTTGTCTTTGATCATTAGTGTCAAACATTTTGGGAGTCGACGGGCTAGTCATCTTAGACATATTAAAATGAGGGAATCAATTGTATCTACTATGGTAAACAAACTACCTATATATGAGACTAGATATCATTTCCCCAAAATCAATGAGAATTTGGTCAAATTGGAAATCATCATGAAAACAAAGCCAACATAAAATAGAATTTACTAAACAGCAGTTACATAAAACCCACTGTTGGGTAACAGTTGAAGATAGTAAGCTTGCTATTAACTAATCCATCGTAATATGAACCAAAAGCTCACTTGAAGTACAAATGTTCATGCTAGGTGTTGACGTGGACTTCGGATGACCTTCCAGATGGAAAAAAGGCCTTATTTCGTTCAAACTTTCTTTGGCCCAATCAACTTCGCTTAAACATGATCTGAGCGCTTCTGCGACAGGACCGCCATGATTAGCCTGAGGAATGATTGGTTGGCCACACAACGGGCACAAAAAGCCTGCTGGAGTTGTTGTTGGTGGCAAGTTCATCACATAATTATTGAGACAATTCCAGTGGAAAACATCTAGAAAAACAGTTGTTTACTCAAATATAAGTTCTACATTTCACAAACCAAGACACACCAAACGAATACATTTTTTGGGAGGATCCGCTTCGAAAGGCTCGTGACAAATGCTACATGATGGGTTAAAATCACTGTCTTTTATCCATCGAAGATAGGATTTAACAATGCACTATTGTAATAAAACTCATCAAGCATTTCCATACCTTGTGGTGATTTGCCACCAAACAAAACTCACACACATTGACCCGGTGCTCGAAACAAAACAGGTTAGTTACCCGTCTCCGTTCACACTTACATAAGCCCATTAGTAATTCAAGTCTACGGCACAAACATTACCGAAATGCCAACAACTCAGCAAGTTTAAGATTGTGTCACATGATATCCTTCAAAATTAAGTGATTAAAACAATCACTTTGAGAAAAGGTTACATGTAGTAATCCAAACATCAATCGAATAACGAAAGGGCTTCTTAAGACCGAAAAAGTATAAACTGAGGTCAAAATGCGTATTTCGTATTATCATTTTATAAGATTCTGCCTAGTATCTCGTGTGTTACTACTATTAGGCCTCATGAGCTGAATTTTTCTGCTTTTAATATCACGAGACTTGCCACTTTAACTTTACAAATTTTCGCGACCGCCTTTATCTTTGGTCACTTGATTTGTGGTGGAACATCGTTCGTTTGGCAGTTTGGTGAGTTGCTTGCAATCAAACGGCAAATTTCAAATTCACTATCCTTCAGCCGAAACAACCGTGCACTAGAATCTAATGAGAAGCACAAAAATTATTCGATCACAAAGGCTCTACCACGATTCTTTTTATCAAATGACGGATAGGTTGTATATTTAGGAAGATAATAAAAGTGTTGACCTGTGTTGGGGCCACTAAGGCATTTAGCATGACAAGAGACACATTACGTGAAATTTGTCACAGGAAGAATATTTATCAAACCTTCTCTCACCTTTTTAACTTTCTCTGTAACTAATTGGTGAATTTCTATTCATGTTTTCATGGGAACGAGGGTCATCGTCAATCAAACGCCTACTTGTATGGCCTTGGCTCATAATCGAATTAAATCATTAAGTAATTTAGTAAAATTTTGGGTGTCTTGGAAGTTGATCTCATGTACTGCCTTATAATTATTACGTGCATTTCAAGAGTCTTGGAGAGAAAAATTCGGCATTTGTATGAAGTATCTTTCCAGGTTTGGTACGTTAATTCCGGTGTCAGCTCATATACAACATCGACAGGTCGCTCTCCCTCGAGAGTTATCTACCTGTTCAAATGTTTTCGGTACGCAAACCACTGCAACAGACTTACGAAGGACCTTCGTCAAAAAAGACCTTCAAAGTTGATCGGCATGGCCGCGTCGGGATTGTCAGCATTGATCGTCTCTAACCAGCACACGTCGATGACAGCGCCCTACACGATAACTTGAGGCTCAATGCTAGACCAACCATACTAGCGGGATCCATACACCTACTTCAGGTCCCATGCTAGATACATCAGAGACCTCATTCTCACGTCCCAGTCAGCAGCACGTGTCATCTGCACCATCTACGGATGAGACTTCAGTCACACGTCCAGATCAGCAGACCACGCCGCCCTTGACTTCGGATGAGATTGCAGGCTCACGAAATATGAACGAGACTACCGTCTCACGTTCTGGTAGCCGAGTACACTTACCCGTATGCTTGCGCGACCAACCGCACAGTCAATAACGGATACGGCGTAGGACTATTCCTATACTACATGCATGCTACACTTTTCTCTTTTTTTGATTTTTTTTATCTTGACCCCTACGCCGCCGACCATCGCCTATTTGGTATCGTTGACTTCAGTCAACCTTGGCGAAAGCTGGCCTGATCACTCACGCTCTTGTCAACGCACTCAGTCTATATTTTGATTTCGAATGTTTGGCACACGTATGGTCTCAAACCTGGTTGTTATGGTCGCTTCTGATTCCTCGGCTCAACGTGGTTTCGCCCTACGTCTGCAGCGTTTTCTGGTCCGGACCCCTACGAACGCAATCTTCAGGCCTTGAATATAAACTACTCTGGTGTGGTATGCTAACTCGAGCAACAAATTCAGCACGCTACTCCTGGTACCGTTCTATGCAAAAGACCTTCGTTGGCAACTGGAGGATCAACAATCGCTTCCTGTTTCGCCAATCCTTTCTTCCTACAATCGCACGTTTGCCGATTAATCCCACGAACAGAACCGCTACATATCGAAAGAGTAATCCCTTTCTAGCGGGAGGCTCCTATAGTGACCTACTTTTATCAAGAGAACGCGACTGGTTTAATGGAAACAATCATTTTTATAAGCAAGTGTACCAGTGATTGTTTCACTGTGCTCATTTGTTGAATTGTGCTAAAGACAGCCATATTACTGCTCCATTACCTATTGATTGTGACCTTGCACGGGTTCGGTTATGCTCGGTAACCACGCTTGTACATCTCGACTACAGCCATAACCTGCCTTCTGATATATGGTTTACGGGGGATTTTATCGGTTAACTGGCACGTAGTCTTCTTGTAGTGGTGTTCATCGTCAACTGCGACTCGACTCCACGCTACAGTTCTTCGACAGTTGCAAAGAGAATTAAAATAGGGTTATCTGGAAACAGCAAATTTTTTAGTAAGCTCTAGGTATCCTTCCCAATGGATTTAAAGAAATGAGTCACAGTTTTATCATCCTTAACATCTTTCCTGGTCATACTCCAGATCTTAAACTTTTTCATTTAATTTTCGAAAGCTTCACAATTCGAATGTATATCCAACTGTCCAGTGACAGACTTCATTCCGACGTCAATATGATAATATTAAGTTTTCGAATTAATGTGCCAACCAAAAAGTCAAATGATCTACTGTGCAATTCTATACAGTTAGAACTAGATGAGCAAAAATGAACGTACTGTATTTGGAATTTTTAATCAGCAGGTAATCAAGTAGAAAAGAATCGTCAATAAGTATAAAAGCCACAATTATTCTATCGTTATAACCAGATAACTGGCTGGAATAAGTACTTTCAATAAGCAACAGCATTTATATTTGTATTAGCAGCTGACAGTGGCGCAAGGTGGAACCGCTTCATCATACATGTGTCCATGGCATGCAGTTTAATAATATACAGCTCCGTCAATCGATATTGTGCATACTTTTTATCAATAGGTGAATCACTTTAGCTTATCTTCGATAAAGTGATCACCTCAAATGTAAAAATAAGTAGATTAATCTGTTTACTGCTCGATAGCTTTTGCAAATTGTTTCAAATATTCTTCAATTTTTACGACTGCATATTGGTTGACGAACTCTACTGTTACAAGTGTTGAACAACGTGTAACAACTAAACTACAAATTTATGGCCATCCGAAAATTTCAAATTTGGTTCGATTATGCCAAACTAAGTTCCTCTGTATAGTTTACGAAGGTTATTTGAGTTACTCGTATCTAATAATTATATCAAAATACATATTTTGTGTATGATTCACAGTCTTAGAATGAAGCCAAACTAAATCAAAAACTACAAAATAACCAAACAATATAGCTCTCACTATCTAGTCAAAAGTGCGTTTAGTACAAAATAATGTAATTTACAGCGAAAAATGGTTAGTAAATACAACTGTTAAGTACCTGGTAATCACAAGAATATTTTCAGCATAATGGGATTATATCTCCATCTGCAAAGATTTAATTTGACTATAACCTTAATCAAAAGACAGTCTAAGAGCAAAGATAATCAACTCTTCCATGGCGTAAACTTGAGTTCCATCAAACAAGAGCTGATTGTTAATAGTTGGGGATCATGCAGCAAGGCTAAACAATAAAGGTAAATATTGACTAAGCCGAAAAATAAAGGTCTAGTCAACAAAGATTGAGGAATGGAAAAGAAATTGCACGAGTCCAATATGAGATTTTACATACCAACCATATAGAAAAATTAAAGTAATAATAATGCGGTCAAGTAAAGTCAACATATGGATCATCCTAATATATGTAAAAGATGTATAAGAAATCACAACAAGGTTGTTAAAGCCGTTTGGCGAAGGTGTTGTACACAAATAAGCAAAATCACTTCAATCGTTTTTATATAAACTAAAGTACGAAATCACTAAATAAGAAAAACTGATCATCTACAAAATAAACTGTTTCAAGTGCAAAACGCACTATATCTGATAAAGTGCACACTACCTTCCTCTTTGTCTGCATGAACACTAACTAGAGGTCAAACGCCATGATACATCTTCGCATATATCAATGCATGTGGACGATAATGAATGCGCGTAGAACTGGAAAATATGTGTGTATAATGCTTGGGAGCTCAGCACGTAATTCATTAGGGAATTAACAAACACGTCAAAATTGTTCAAATTCATCAACCAATCAGAAAAATCATGGACAAATATGGGACCAAAAAGCTGATCAACAGGCGATACGATTAAAACAAAGAGGCTGATAATGACAGGTTAAAGGTCAACAATAAACAATCAAGACCGAGATCAACAGAACAAGCGGATAGTCATATGTGAAAAAATGCTCAAACTTTATTTCTGCCTGGAGTACGTGCTGAACAATTCGTTCAGAAGAACAATGAAAGCTCCATGACCAAACCATCCAGTTTAGAGAACGAAACTCTATCAAAATCACTTACCTGAGCCATAAATCTTACTCACCATCTTAAATAAAACGCTTGGGATGGATCTTCAGACTATTAATTCTGTTACATTAGGTTGATACTTATATGTGTGGAAAAAATTAGATAGCTTGTCGAGTTTCAACCGAGTAGCATAAACGCTATAACGATTCCGTTTATGCTGCCCTGACCATCTAGAGGAGCATCACTTCCTATGAACTGACTGCATCCACTTAACCTGCTATAACTCAGGTGTTTCTTTTATCTCAAGGAGCATATTGAGGCTAGTCTTCAAACAGTAGTTTAGTAGATGCTTTAGATATATCTATGATATCACAAGTTAACATAGGAAAGACTCTGAGACACGTTTACTCCTAAGGATCACGTTGGAATATGGCTAATTGTCCACCTTCAGTTTTGGAGTTGAAAATTGTAGGTGATTTTATTTGCATGTAGATGAACAAATTTTACATGAAGAGCAAATAATATTATTTTAAAATGTAAATATGAAACAGTATTTGATAGCCATTTGCTAGAGTATTGTCCATAGTCAATTTCAGTGGAGACAAGAGAAAATGAAATGTTAATGCTCCGTTTTGCATGATAACATAAGGACGGCTTATTTACAGACAATCCCTATTTTGAATTGCTAATTTAAAGAGTCACTATT